AAAAGCCATGACAAAAATTAAAATACATTTCGCAATGATATCAACTTTATCTTGCCTTTTAGGTCATTTTAAAAGAAACATTTAAGGTTTAAACAGATAGGACATACACAAGAATAAAAAACAGAACAAACCATCTCTACAATAACAATTCTTACATGTATGTTTCAATACAATTTCAATGCATCTTGCTACATAAACAAGAAATCATATACAACTGCTGTGCACCAAAGAGTAGCTTAGTATGATCTTTCAAGTAACATGCAGTCAAAACTCACACTTTTCAAGTACTGCTGGTAAATGTTCCCTTGTCTGAAAATGTATTTCTCTCCCAGAGTAATGAAATAAGTTTCTTTTTCCGGTAAGTTTTGTGAAATAGTGAAGTGCTTTTCTTCCACTTATTAACTAAATACAATGGTAAATGGTAAAAATGTGTCTGCCTTTTCATTTTTCCACCATTAGTTCTTCTTAATATAGAAGATTGTTTAAAGGAAAAAAAATCATCGAAGTCTAAGTTACTGTAAATGATAAAAAATAAATATGCACCCCAGTTTTCTTAAACACACATACCACACACACACACACAAATACAAGAGATATTACTCAACAGCAGAGCTCTTTTTTTTTTCTTATTTAGCAAAGTACTCTCCAGTTTAATGTTTTAACCGTTATTTGAACTGAAGTTACTGCTGGTGCCATTAATATCAGTTTACATTTAGAGACAGTCTAGTGAAGATTAGTCACAGCTAAATTCAGTTGAAATCAAAGGGACACACACCTCGATCCTATGCACTTTTATTGAAAAAGCATTTCTTCAACACAACTAGAAAGCAACTAAATCCTTCATCAAACACTTTTAAGATTCCGCCCTTAAAGATCTTAGTGTGGAAAACCTCTTAACTAGATATACTGTATGTAAGCCCAACTTCATTTACAGATGCAAAATGGAATCCTATGGACAATTACTCCAGTGTGAGTCCCACTGAACTTGAGGGGATTTTCCTATGTGTAAACATGCCTTTTTGACATGAAGGACCGTGGAAGACAATTTTTCCACAGACTGGGGGGCGGAGGGGAATGGTTTTGGTTGCTTGCTCATCGTTCACCTCCAGCTGTGCGGCCCAGTTCCTAACAGGCCAAGGACCAGGGACCAGTCCATGGTCTGGGGGTTGGGGAATCTTAATGTAGCAGATCCAATCGCATAGCTGCATTCTTAAGCATACTCCCTTGAGAATTACTAAGCCCCACTGCACATTTTGCTTAAAAATGCTTTTATTTGGCTGTTTGTCACTACTTGCGTTTCCAGGCTGCACATTTAGTTCAGATTATTTGAAATACAATCCAGTGAACCTCTTTTTATGCTCAACAGTTTCTGAAACTTGAACAGCTTTGCTCCCCTTTCCTCTCTAAATCAGTGTTTCTCAACCGTAGCAGTTTTACATCTCAAAAGCCCCCGAGGCTGAGAAACCCTGCTCTAGATTATAAACCCTACTTCTGAAATACACCACCATTTGATTTAAAAAAAAAAGCATTCCAATATCTTGAAATATATGATTTAAAAAAACTAATAAAATATTTCCTTGCAATGATAATGCATATATTACAAAGCATGACCAACACATCCTGTTTTAGAGTCTTAGGCAACAATTACATTCAGCATTAGAGGACATAAAATACAAAGCTTCAAATCTGCCATCTTTTGCTAAAATGATTAAATGACATTCATACTTTATTCTAGTTTTGCATTTTGCCATATAAAGCTTTTATGACATATGGGAATTATAGCAGGAACCTAATTATAGGCACTACCTCATGATAAAGCATGTACTTTTTATAACTACATACCACTCTAATCTTGTATTCCTTTTTCAAATGAACTTCGACCACTGAAAGATTTCAGTTGTCTCAGAAACCATTCAACTAAATGAGCTTGTATTTGCAAATCTAGGCCACTTCTGTACAAGTTTTAATTCTACTTTCAGCAAGAATATATTTACTAGGATGAAACTCCTGTTTACAAGAGCAGGATTCTGCTTTATTTAGAATACTTAGAACATTACATATGATGGTTACATGCAGAAGCAGTTTTGTGAAAGGCAAAGTGAGAGTTGGGCCCATTATTAATTGTATAACATAGAAATTCCCCAGAATTGAGCAATGGAGTAATACATAAAGCAGCTTCATGCGAGAGGCTTATACCTGAATATACAAAAATTTTGGAGCAATCCTTTATCAGCAATATTTTGCTTTTTAAGACAGATCACAGTCATTTCATGTTTTGCTGTCTGGAGGGACAGAAGAAACATATATACCTATACGTGTATGTATAGATATATATTGTTATTAATCTCATATGAAATCAGTGGGTGAACAGCATGAAAGTTACTTTTCTTTTTTACATTTACCACAATAGGGCATGAATAAAATAATATAAATCAGGAGTGTCAAACTGATGGCCCATGGGCTGGATGTGTCATGCATAGGCCACGCCCACCCCAGGTCCGTGAAGGGGGGAAATGTGATACGTCATGTGACAGTAATGTGATGCTGAGTTTGACACCTGTGATATAAATCCTATTTCTTTTTAAAAAGGGCGGGGGGGGGAATATAATCAAGAAGACATTATTGGCAGCATATCCATTTCATCAAAATTCCACATTCTACTGGTATGGTTTTATTAACAATCTTGCATACAAATCCATTATCACATTCGTTCTGTCGGCAAAGCAGTCTATATGTCTGCAGCAATAAACCTATGTTTTGAGTTGATTTTAATCTCTTTAATTTTCACAAAGAGAGAGAAATCTATCTGATAAGGGATGGGAACAAAAACTATTAAGGAAAGTAATCCCTTATAGATTGCACATCTGACTTCTTATATTATTTCAGCATTGCAATCGTACTAGAAACCTTCAAACTGGATATTAAGATGGACATGTTATAGGTATCTGTTATAGTGACCTGGGAATTTGATAAATATAACCAATGCTTATAAATGAAAATTCTACATTCTTAGGCTTACGTGAATTGTAGTAAATTACTGTGTATAAAAATTGTTTTTGTGTTACAGTAACATGGGATTATGATCATACTGCCCTAAATTGATCTGCAGCTATACTGTTTTGATAGTTGATGATTTACAAATATGTCAGTAGCACAATGGAGGTCTATCTATGCACAATAGGTTTACAATTTCAATTATCTCTAGCTGTACAGGTAATTTGGAAGAAACATCCCCTATGAAGTTATGTCCAACAAAAGAACAAAATCTTATTTGTTTTGGCATGTAGATACTTTTGTTAGTTAATAATTTACTTTCATTCAATTTATGGGATGTGGGGGGAGGGGGAGAAATCTTTGCTGTTTAAAATGTTCATCAACTGCCAACTTCATGAAGGGAAACCTACACACACACAAATTTAGTTTCTTGTCATTCTGGATTTTGCTGAGAAATATTTCTGGATAAAGGAATATAGCTGCCCCAGTGGTACTGAGAAAAAGCAGATATATTAACTTTTTAACACCCCATCTTTCTTCCTGTAATATGGAATGGCCTTTCTGTTAGCTTTTCAATTTCAAATTTCCACCCTGGTTTGATCCACTCTTATTATCCTTTCAGTGCATACCCCTATGCAGTTGAAAGCAATGGAGCTTGGCTATTCTACTATGCTCTTATTTGCAGACTACCATAACAAGTGTATGAAATTTTATCTTCCCTGGTACACATTCACCCAGTTTTAATATGAATAGATTCTTCTTCAGCTTTGGATGTAAAACATTAGTAAGACAAGTATTTTGCTGTTCATACAGTTAAGGCATATAAGAAAAATGACAGAATCCAGGAGCATAGCCTTTAATTTGAAGAAAGAGGGTGAAAGAATACTTTCCAAGCGCCAAATGCTCTCCTTTCAAAACAAGCAAGGATTTTGTAACACTCAAAAGAGTCAGCATTTCATCCGTCTTAACCACTTAATCTGTTCAAATATCAGCAAAGCTTTGGGTCAGTGAAGAGAACAATTTGTTCCCCTTCACTCTGACCTTTCCTAAGCTTCAAATCTGCTCAGGGGGGTTAGAGGACAACCTAAAATAAATTCAGGGAAATAGTGAAGTGCAAAGTCCCATTCTGAGAGTAAATGTACACATGACAGTGGATTAGTGACTACAGTTGTGAATGTGAATTCAATTAATGTCACTGTGCTATTTAATCAGGGCCATAAGAAACACATTGCATAACTGACAAGGCTCAAAGGAAATGATTACATCTGAATGCAATTAATAATATAATGGTGAACATATAACTTGAACAATGTATTAATGGGGTAGAAGCAGCTTTTCTATCCTCCTTTGTCTTAATGATGAAAACTGAATTCTAACATTTGAAGGGCCAAAAACTGGCAGGTGGAAATAGCTCAAAAAACAATAAGAACAAAACACTATTTCTATGGAGAGACTTAACAATATCAGCTGTCACATTCATCTGAATGTACCAAACCAAGGTTAAAAATACCCTAGTGCCAGTCTGTAAAGGATACAACAGACGCTATGCCTGTGAGGTTCATCCCAATATTTGAAACAACCAAGTCATCTAACACAAAGTTCTATCTGACTGCAAAGAATATTTAAGCTCCTAAAGAAAATCCTACCTTCTGTGGTTTCCTATTTAGTAGATCTTGGTACATGTAACTGATGCTTCTATGTATAATATTACATTAAGTCAACAAGTTCTACACGGAAGTGTGGCTAGTGAGTTTAAGATTGCAGTTAATGGCTTAACTAGGGAAGCTTTTCAAATTGCTTTAACCATCTATATAGTATATAGGAAATTTAAAAAGGGAAATGCTTTCTTTAAAGCATTCCTATTGTCATCATGCTTACCCAAGGATCTCAAGCTATTTCTCCTTACCTCTTCATTAAAGCAACTTGGAGCACATATGCAACATCTTAGTATCAAGAATTTCATTCTCTTCAAAGGGAGTTTTTTATGTGGGAGATATTTTTCTGTTAGTCACAATCACTACATTTTTCAAGGGTTCCCATTTGTTAATTTGTATTATTTAATGCAGATTCTGAGTACATGGCACTGCAAAGTTTGAAAATACCTTCTTTAGAGATGTTGCTGTAACTCCTGGGTTTTTTTAATAGAGCATTTTTAATGACATGTTAGTGTGTTCTGACAATTAACTGCTTTGATATTTCTCATTTAAAGGGGCCACACAATGAATGTTTGCAATGTTTTTTGTCAAATTTAAGTAACACTCCTGCATTCAACACAGGACCAAAATCATTAGATGCCTCAAGTATATTCTTTACAGACAATTTCATCAATAGAGTGTTGTTTCAATAAAATCTTGAAAACTATGCATTTTATTTCCTGGCAACTCCAGACAGCCAGATTGAACCTTAAACCATACAGATCTTCAGGCTACTGTAACTGCCCAAGGAATTGCTCTTACGACATAGGTAAAGTTATCATAAATCTTTGCTGCTACAAGCTAATTCACAAAGCACATCAGTGTCTATGATAAATATTTGAAATGCTACAATAAATAACTTACAGCTGTATTTACAGTATATTCTCACTCTGCATGCATGCTTGATGGATGTTGGCTTGTAAAACAGCAATTAAGTGAGATAGTACAATGAGAAACATTACCTTTTAGATGCAGCTACCATTTTGTAAGCTGTATTGTTTTTACAAATTTATGATAATTAAAATATATGGCTGAACCCAGACAAAACTTTAACAATATTTCTTAATTTCAGCAGTATGTTTTCAATGTTTGGGTAATCTGATGTATCTAATGAAACATTTATTAGCTGTTAAAAACAATCATGCATTTCCATTTTAATGCATTCTATGCAAATATACCCTATGGAACCTCATCAGTGGACTTCCAAGTAATAGATTATATTCCTTACTGTCTGATTAGGTGGACATATGTGATTTCCCTATTGAGCACTGTTGTTTAAGAGCTGGTATCTGCTAGCAAATATAGCAGTAAATTTTCTGTAGGTATACAGGGGAAAACACTAAACTACTCCAGTAATTAAGAGATCTTCTATTAGGGAAAATGCCAAATCTTCATAATTTGAGTCAACTTTTTTTTTCTACTATTGCCACCATCTGAATTTTCTGCTGTGGTATCTATATAAAAGGAATCAAAAGGAATTTAAGCCTAAACAGTTTATTAGTAGTGTATGCCCTATAAATGTCAAGTGGTAACAATACCATCCTACATACATTCATTCAGAAATCAACCCATTATGTTCAATGGGACTTATTATAAGCATAAGCAGATTGTCAAACTAGGATGAAGTGTAGATGTTTTCCACATACAGTGAAGGATTATCCCAGGACTCCCCCCCCCTCCCCCCCAAATTCAGAATTACTAGAAAGAATGATTAAATTAGGAAAAAACTGTACAGATGAGCTGCTGGATGATTTCACCCTACTTATTGTAATGACAGCTATGTTTAATAAATTTTAGGTTCACAAAAAATATACAGTTCTTAAAATGTAAATCTAAGGCACACAAAATTACCATACCAATTAATGTATATCCAAGAAGCAGAAAACTGCTGGTAGAAAATGATAGATTTACTTTTATTATTTACAATTGTTACATATTCTCTATCTGAACTAATCATAATCTTTTAACTAAGAAAAATGCAGCATATGGGTTTGTTTTTTGTTTTTACAAAGTTTGTTTTAAAAATAGAAAGATTGGGTTTTTCTCTTTACATACTATTCTCAAATGTTATGACCCAGGTTGCTCAGTAAGCTGTTGCATAAAGATTGCTAATGGTATTGTGACTAAATATGAAGATCTGATCTAAAGTTAAGTTTTAAAGCCATGTTTGACAATATTTGTAGGGTACCTCTTTGTAAAATTATAGATCATCAACCTTTCTCAGCCCTCACCACAATCAATGAAATTGGCTGGATTGCACACTCCTGGTTTTAGTAAAATATCTCTAAATTTTAATACTCAGTAACTTAGGAAAATTTCTCTAATATCTACAGCTTCTGCAAGCTGAACTTTGTCTCTGTGTTTGTGTGTATTCAGCTGTCAAAAGTGGAAATGTGACGGGCAAACAAAAAGATATCTAGCAACCAGCCTTGTCTGACATACATACATATCATTTAACATGATCAGCATCACCAATAATGGCCTCAATCACCTATTAGAGACGGAGAAGGGAAAGACATCAAGCAGCATTCAAACGGGCTGTTTTTGTCTTCACTGTGCCTAAAATGTACTTGTACTACTAGATGAAAATATGGGTAATTGCCCATTTGGATGGATGAAATGCAGGAGGTCTACCATGGGAGTGCTGTGGATGATGGTTGCCTTGAAGCTTAGACCAGTGTGAAGGTCTACTATCACGCAAATGGACTATGTGAATAACTGAAATAAATTCCACATTCTGAACTTCAGAATCATAGGTGACAAAGAATAAACCAGTTTTCCCCAAGCCTAGTGCCTTTAATATGTTTTTACTTCCACTCCAATAAACCACCATTCAACAAATTATTTGGAGAAAGCTGGGACAAGCTATATAAATCAACTATTTCTTCGTTTCTGAATTATATTTTCAGACTAAATACAGAAGGGTAGACATTTAATAGTAAAAGCACCATGTCTAGATTTTGTTAAAAAAGCAGATCTAGAAATTTATTTGTTACAGCACCACTATAAGATATTATCAAGTATGTTATCACGAATCTTTTATTTCTGGTTATCCTGGTGGCACATCATGGAGACGAAGAAGAAAAGAGAGAGATGTAAAATCAAGAGTTAGCCTCATGACTGCCCTGATTAAATTGGATTATTAGTAAATAGCTTCATTTTTGTATATAAACTACAGGGTATGTTTACTCCCAAAAGCTCACAATATAATAGCAACTGGCTAGTTCAAATTACACCATAAAAAAAGAAAAGCCTGAGATAGTCCCATAATTTTTAAAATTAAGATGATGTCATTGGGACAAATGGATGCAAGGTGATTTAATTAATTTATTATTTGGAATCAAATGTTCCTGTACACGCACAGCTCTACTCAAATTGGGACTGGTCAAACTCATTGGTTTAGCTTCAATAATTTAGTAATTTAGACCAGCTTTGCTGGCTGAGGAACTCTGGGAGTTGACCTCCATAAATCTTAAAGTTGCCAAGGTTGGAGACCCCTGATTTAGACCATGGAAATAATTAAGACTGATAAAATCCCTGGCATCCAGTTGTCTAAATTATGATCTTTGTTACTTAAATTTCTTCTTCCCTTTTCTTTATTCCAAATATACCAAATTCTCCTGATTCTAGCTGCCCAAAGTCCTGAGCTATATTTTAATAGTCCTGCTTCTCATCAGAACTGACAAAAGCAGTTTTTATCACACAGATGCTGCCGTGTACATTTGAGTTTTTCAGTATTTAATATTAAAGCTCTGCGAGTATTGGCTCATTTAATGCTACTTCTGTTAAACAAAAGATGTGGCCGCTCCAAATAACAGATGCTAAGAAACGAGAAGTGGCAGCAAGATGTTAGGAAACCCCAGCCGTAGGTAACCTACATAGAGCCGACGTTATATTGGTTAAGCTAGTTGGCAGCTTTCAGGTCTGCTGGAAGACATCATTCTGCCTTTAGTATTGAACTGGGAACTTCAATCTAGTTAAGTTCCACCTACAAAATGGAACTTTGCCTTGCACAATTCAATCTCTTCAGCCAAATCCTTATTTAGATTGATTATATCTTTGCAGTTGCTTTCCCTGGTTGTTGACTGAAACAAAAACTTGAGTTGATCAATCCAGCCATTGCACTTTCAACTAACAAACTCTGGGCACATGAAAGTGTAAGCTGGAACAATGAACAGGGTTCCCAGGTTGGAAACACTTGCAAACTCTGACCCTGTAATGCTGCCTGGGTTAGTTACCATTCAGAAAAGAGTATGATGCAAAATGGAAATGGCATATTGTTACAACAAGAGGCCGGATACTGTACTCTGGATGGGTCTCCAACATAGATCGCTGCCCCATTACAGACCTTATTTCCTGGCTGGAGATACCAAGTGAGATGTGGAACTATGCACATTGTAGAATGAATCACTTGGATATCTCAGTGTGTCTTTCAGAGGTGAAGGAGAGGAAAAAAAAAACTGCATATACTAATCAGATGTTCACTGGCAGAAAGCCCACTGAATACAATGGGATTGGGCTTCAAGTAAACCTGCCTAGATCAGGCTGATGGCCATTTCACCACTGAAGAACATTTTGGATGCATAATAAATTCAGATGTATTCCTACACTGCTGATAGGGCAGATCCCTTAAAATCCAACCTGTTAACAAGGCATTGCAATTTACGCATTGAGGCCCCAGAAAAAGAATAATCCTAATAGGGTGACTTCAAGATGCATGGAACTACACCACGGATGATGCTCGATTGTATTGTCCCATAAAACTTGGAATGCCCCCCATGAGATAACATTTGCCCTTATTGCTCAAATTATAAATTCTTCTTTAAAAAAGACCCTAGAAATACAAGTATAGATAAGTGACTTAATTTATATTTGCAAATAGTGAATTTCTGGACTTTATCACCTTTTTTTATTTAGTAACAAAAGCAATGGAAAAAAGAAAAAGGAAGAACCTAAAACCCAAGTATTTTCAATATCTATGAATTGATGTAGCAATATGGAACTTTATATAGTACGAAAAAATAAATTCCTTGGTAGAGAATGCACAAACCTTAGACAAATGTGATCCTTATACTATTTCAAGTTAACTTTAAAAATAGAAAGTGCTTTTAAATATATATATTTATATGTATTTACATTAATAACCTCCAATCATTACTAGTGATATTTATTTGCATGTGAATGCATGTGGATCATACACACATGCACACACAAACTATACATACATGAGAAAAATCTATATACAAATAAATCATCATTGGTTCTTTCTCCGTAAGCTGGGATTCACAGCAAGTGATTGGAAGCTGTAAGAGCAATGGCACCATGAAGAAATAAAATCAGCTTATTTTTAACTGTTCAATATGATTAAGCACCAAGATCTGTGTATAGCTAATACTGTCTAACTTGATTTTACATAATAAAAGATGAAATCAGTTAAAATCTTTATGAAAAGCCCATTTATAATAAATAGACGATTCAAAGCACCAAAGTATAAATTCCAAAAAAGGTAATAAACCAAGTAATTCAATCAGTTAATAACCTAGCCAATTTTTCTTAAATGTTGTGTGCACACGTGTGCATGCATGTGAATGCACATTTATATACACACTTGAGAATCACCAGATGTTAAAATATATAAAGTCACAGTTTAAAAACAAAATAATTTTTACCTCAGCCTTCAAAATGGTTGAGATGAACAAAGAGTAAACCATATGAGACTTTGTTCTTTAACAGCACCTTTTAGGATTGTGTAACACTGCTCCAAGGCAATAGTTGTGTTGTTGCTATAAGAGCTTATGCCCAATGGTTGTAGGGCCCTGCAACTCGCGTGAGGGCATAAGTAGACACTGTTAGAATATTATCATGAGTTACTGTTAATGCTCTGCGAGATGGAATTTGGTTGAATTCATTTTCTTTGTAGAAAATCTCTTGGGTTGCATTGGTCTGATTTGCATTCCTGTCAGTAGCTGGCAGACCGGTGGTTTCAGTTCCTGATTTTCTAGCTTCTTTCTCTTTTGCTCTCTCTGCCATTTTGGCCTCCCACAGGGCTATCCCATGTTTTGGCTCATTTAAGTTTTTGTGTTGGTAAAAGACTAAAGAGATCCGCGTGGGATGATTCCTGTTGGGCTTTTTAAGAGGTGTGGTGGCATGCAGTTCGCGCCGTGCACATTCAATCAAGATGGAACCGTGGGATGGCGCTACAGCTACCCCACCAATGTCATTATCCAAAAAGTTATGCTCGCTATCAGACCACATTTCTTCTGCTTTTTCTTCAGAATCTGCGTGTTTTAAGAGCTGGCCATTGGAGCCGTTTTCTACACAACCTGGGCTTTGCCGTAATCCACTCTTTTGCATTGGGTGCTCTTGGGAAGAACCATTACTAGAGATATCTTCTTCAATGTTGTCCAGTTGCAACACTGACTCACAAGAGCTAGCTACCTGGGAGGCAGAAGAGGACTTTAAGTTAACTTCACAATTTTGCTTGTTAGCTAGTTTGTGTTCAGTGGTCAAGGGCAGATTCTCTCTGTTGACTGTGGGCCTGGACGTAGTCAGGTCTTGAAGAAGCAGGGGCACACCATTTCTCTTCTCATCCATCACAATTCCAGTATAATCATGAGAGGACATGTCAACGTTATTACCACCTTTGGATGTCACATGAGGTTTATTACTACTGCATTGTAAATACCCGTAGGGAGTAGAAACATCTTCTTGGCTATTAGTTACTGGCATTAGACCACCACTTAATTGAGAGCTAGAGGATAAACTATCCAGTTTTAAAGGAGAGGATGGAGCATGTTGCTTCAACAGAGAGCAATCGGTAGCAATGCCTAAATTAGGTTTTATGCTAGAAAAGTATTCAGCTGTCTCCATTTTTGTCTCAGGTTGGACTATATTCATTTTGCCCCCTAAAGAGAGAAAAAAATAACTGGTTTCAAATATAAAGTTCTGTTTTTCCCCCCACAGATGTTTGATAAATACATACATGTTTCACGCATCCATTTTAATTCCTCCTCAATGCTCAATTCCTCCTCATGTTGCAGTTTTGCGACACATTCGCCATGACATTTTCAAATATATTTTTAAGTTACAAATTCTTTTTGTGAAAGTAAAGGTGCTCAAAACTTCAAAAACAAGAGCTTGCACACTGTACAGGGGTTATCAGCTGTAGGGCTTTGGCATCACATATTTAAACCAAACATACTTTTATACTAGGTAAAATACAGATAATGCTCAACTAGGTACAGGTAATACTTGACTTATAACAGTTCAGTTGGTTACTGTTCCAAATTATAATAGCACTTTTACACTCTTTAATGACATGATTCACTTAACAACTGCTTCACAAATGTGGCAAAAAAGATCATAAAATGGGGCAAAACTGACTTAACAACTACCTTGTTAAGGAACAGAAACTTTGGGGTCAATTGTGGTCATACATCCAGGACTACCTGTGTATATAGTACTGTTTTTGCTTTTGCTTTTTATATTTTACTTTGTTCCATCTTGATACTTTGCATTTTAGACACACAAATGTGAACTTCTATAACATGCCCATATCTATCACTATCAGGTATTATTTGAAGCCTGTTGTACCTACCTGAACTTTGTGGTGCTCTCTTAGTATTTTCTGGCAGTCCATTTTTTCCCCTTACAGGCGCAGAATGCTTTTTTTCAGCTAAACTTTGCTTTTTTGCGTCCGGTTTTTTCTTGGTTGCCCTACGTGGCTCAGCTAACATCCTCACTTCTCGGGGGAAAGCAGTTAGCACCTGGATGGCCCCCGTTTTAATCTTGGCTTCCAGCCCCTCTTCTGTGCCAAATTCATCTGTTTGTGATATTTTGTAAAGAGGCAACACATGAAGCTGCTCATCATTTGGTATCACACCTACTGTACGGTTGTCTTCTTTTGTTAAAGTACAAACCTAGCCAGAAAGGGGGAAAAAAGGAACTATTAATACTCATATTTACATAGAAATACACAGGCACACTTAATCAACTTCAATGAAAACTATAAGTGAATGTTTAGGATAAAAGGTTGCAAAGATAATCTATTTCACCTTTCTTACCATGGTTTTATATTTCCAACACATAAAACACAACTAAACTAACACAGAGAAGGTCCTCGTCTTACAGTCATTCGTTTAGTGACCAAAGTTGCAGCAGCATTGAAGAAAGTGACGCGCGACCATTTTTCAAACTTACAACTGCTGCAGCATCCCCCCATTGGTCAAGTGATCAAAATTCAGACTCTTGGCAACTGGCGTGGATTTATGGATGATTGCAGTCTCCCGGGGTCACGTAAGATTGCACCTTTTGCAATCTTCTGAGAAGCAAAGTCAATGGGGAAGCCAAGTTCACTTAACAACCATGTTACTAACTTAACAATTGCAGTGAATCACTTAACAAGCGTGGCAAGAAAAGTTGTAAAATGGGGCAAAACAAAAATTGTTTTGCTTAGTAACAGAAATTTTGGGCTCAATTGTGGTTGTAAGTTGAGAACTATTTATATATAATTTGTTTCTTATACATGAACAATAGGTTATAGTTTATGTAGCATGACATTAAGAATACAATCCAATATAGATCTCATGAAAAATATATTTGCTAATTTTAGCAGAACATTTCTTCAACCTAAACTGAAGAAATAAGAAACAGAGTTCTGTTGTTTTAGAAAACAAGGGGGATTGGCTTGATCATAAGAAGGAATATGCCTCAACAGGATCACCAATCATCTTTACCCGGCACTCTTCAGATGCTGGACTACAATTCCCCAAATCCTGTGCTGGGTGTCAATCCTGAGACACTATCTAATATACATTTGAAGAGCTGGGGAACTTTGCATTGTCTTGAACCAACCTATACTGTAAAAGAAAAATTCCTCACCTACAGAAGCTGAGATAACGACGGCCATTTAATGTAAGATTTCCTGCTGAATGGTGTGACTAAGACACACATTTGTGAGAAAAATGGTGAGAGTTAACTTGTCCAACATGCCTTGCCTTGACTGGGGCTCCCTTATGCCGCCGAACTCAAAAGCAAGTAATTGTGATGGCAATTCTGAAAAGGCAAAGGATTACAGTTTCCCTTCTTAAAACTAAAGAATAATGCATCAAGCTGGTTTGGTGGCCCAATGGAAACCAAATTGGCCAAACCTGGAGTCCCTGTATGGAATATACATACAAGAATTTGGTGCATCACAAGGTCCTCCTGGGCTGACAAGCCCCGAGTTCTTCCCCAACAATAGCAATTACGAAGGCATTGGTGCTACCTAGAGTAGCATAATCCTTAAAGAGGAAGTGATTCTAAAGGGAAAATGCAAAGGGGGCTTAGGGGAGGGGTGGGCAAGTAGGCAAGACATCTGGGACTTGAACTCACGCCAAAAACTGTCATTTACTATAATGGTAGACAAAAGGCTGGATGTGTCATTTCTTCCTCCCCAACATTCTTCCATTCTTCAAATCACAAGCCTGCAAGGACAACCGGATCAGCACTGCTAAGTAGCTTATCTCACGAAGAGCAGCTCAGTCCAGGCTGCACAAAAGCTCAGGGAAGGACAAGAGATTCAAACATTTGAAGAGATTTCTTTTTAATGCACTCATTTATAAAAGAGGACTAGAGGTTCCTACCACAGTCCTCAAGAAAGGCTGTTTGACTCCGGCTTCTATGACTGTGGCCTGCATTTCAGGTTTTCACCATAATGTCAGGAGAGACCCCTATGAAATAGATTGATCAGCAAATGTTAACTATCCAGTTGGAGAAGGTAGGCAACTCAGGGCTGGGAGCTGAATATCAAGGCTCACTGCTAAGACCTTGAGGAATTTCCTGGATACTTGACTTAGCACAGCTTGACTAAGCTCTATCCAACCTAAGGACCTAAGAACTCATACAATGTTAGGTAAGAAGATTTATTGCCTGCTAGGAAGAAGCCATAAAATAGTTGATTGCTTTCTGTCAACATGAAAGTGAAATTCCATTTTTACTCCCAGTGAATTCTGATCCAGGTGCTGCTCACCCATTCCCCTTGTTTAACTGATATTTCTGCCATGCACTTTTTGGGCTTGAAGCTCAGGGGACTCAATCTCTGCCCTGATGAATTATTTTCCACAATTTATGGCATTGCAACTAAAGATTTAGAAGTGAATTTTGTACGAGACCACAAAAATTAAAACTCAAGCAATGTTTAACCTCAGTAACCAAGAAAGTTGTAATTTATCCTACGTTCATTGCACTTTATATCATTTGTGGCATGGGTCACCAAACCATATTGGCTAAGAAATTCCACAAGTCTTAAAAGATGTCGTTTGGAGACCCAAACTGAAAAAGAAAGGAAATCGAGTAAAAAGGGGTATGCAACTATGACACAGCTACATTGGGAAGAGGAAACAGCGCCCCAAATTTTACTTACCACAGTACTTCCGTTGTGCATGTTGTGAGTATCCTTGTGTGCATGGGCACAGAAATCAATGCAAGCTGTCACACCAGAGAAAGGCCGGCCTTTCTTGCTCCCAAGACGACAGTCAGGCCCCAGATGCTCATTCTCCACCTTAGAAAACAAGGCGATCAGGTCTTATTTCAAGAATAGAGTTTAGTTTGTTGTCAACTTTAGGGTAACATTTTATTTACAATCAAAAATTGGAGATAACACAGACTTACAATTGTACCATGAATCGTTGCTTAGAAAACATGTTTTTTTCCTGATGGTTGTTATTTTATTTATGCATTTTTAATTGCTACATATAGCAGGGACAGTACAATAGCCAAATCCAGGGAGCATCTGCTGCCCTCCAGCTTAAAAAGTGTGAAATGTGATTACGATCATATTTAATCTAGTTTTAAAAAATCAGAAAGGATCCTCAACCTGTTCTCTTTCTCATATCTAATACCTGCTTCCACCAGGAAACAAGTGGGTTTACATACATGAAACCATGCAGATAATCCTCACTTTATGATATAATTCGGACCAGAGTCCTTGCACTCCCCATTGCGGTCACTGAACAAGGATTGTGGATGCTTAAGTAAGTCTCAGGTGGCTTGCAAGCAGCAGACAGGTAAGATGCAGTGCTGCATGGGTGTGGCTAGGTGTGACTGCTGCCAAGTAGGGGCTGGTGTGAGTGATCTTCTTGCTGGCTCCCCCATTGACTCTGCTTGTGGGAAGCCAACAGTGAAGGCAGAAAAAGGATGATCACATACTGTAACTGCAGGCTATTGCAACCACTGTAAGCATGAGCTGCTTGTGAGGTGGCCAGATCATGATCACATGACTGCAAGGTGCTGGAATGGCTGAAACTTCATAGACGGGGTATCTTTTGCAACACCATTAGAATTCCGAACAAATGGTTGGTAAGTGAGGACTAGCTATAATCCAATTTGACTGTGTTTTGTTGCATATATCAAAACCGATGAATTTATACGTAATACTACACTAAGTTTGAAGCTGAAGATGATACATCATTTGCAGAGGGTCACAAAAGCAGGGGCATTACAAGCATGTGGGCAAGGCTGGCCTTGCAAGGGAGGTTTGGGGCTGCTTTTTGTGCTTTAACTATGATTACTTCGGATATTTCGTTTTGGGATTATCTGTTTTCCACCTCAATGGGTGCTGTTGGTTTTCAACAAACATGGAAAGATAGAAATATGAGAGGGCTTATAAAAGCAGCAAAAAGCAACATAAAGATTTGGGACCATAACCTCTCCATTCCTGCACAAAGCTGTAAATCATTGTTTATCAACCATAAAAGGAGAATTCACACATTGTGCTAGCTCAAAATCCAAGAAACAATACTGCGATCTGTGGACTCTGCTAGTAAGTAAATGCCTCTTGAGGACATGTCACTGCTCTATCACATGAAAAGGATGTGATGAGACATCATGAAATATTCATCATCCTACCTGGTTGTAGAAAGCATCAGGGGCAAGTTTTTGATATAATGGAGCCACATCAGTAGCTAAAGTCTGCAAATTGTTTTCCAGATTTTCTTCCTGGAAATAGAGAAAGCAATTACCCCATAACTGTATTGTTTATGAATAAAGCAATGTTAATTGCAGCTTATATTTCAGTTTCCTACTGTAATAGTAAAACTATCCACGTATTTAAAAGTTGGTCAGACAAGGGGGGAAATATTTCTTTCCCCTTTGCAAGGACACCATTCTTAGCCCAACAGCTATTAACAATGTTAGAAAGCTTATCAGACTGGCAATGAAATAGAGCGTTTTCTTCCTTCAATATACCGAATACAGGTAGTCCTTGGCTTATGACAACAATTGGGACTGGATTTTCCATTGCTGAGTGATGTGGTCATAAAGCATGACCACAACTCTTAGCAACAGTTATCCCTGAAGTCCCAATTACCATTGAAAACTGAATCCCATAGGTGTTCAGTGAGACACCTTCCTACTGGGATCGTGCAAGCACAATTGGTGAAGAAGTTGGCAGGAAGTCGCAAATCCCAGGCCAGCAGGCATTCGAGTGACTTCTGCTGGGTGGGGGAAGAGAGCATGGATGGGGGAAGGCGGGTGCAGGGCAGGCCTGGTAACAGTTTGGGGAGATGGTGTGATGGTAGGAGAGGGTGTGTGAAAGGCATGCAGATCAGGAAGTGTGCAAGGAGGCATAGCATGGATCTGGGAATGTGCTTGAGGCTGTGGCATGGATCAGGAGAATGTGTAAGGGTGCGAAGGCATGTGTGTGACATGTGGTGTAGAAAGGTGCAGAGTGGGTTGGGGAGAATGCATGAGGTTGTGAGGGGGGTTGTGCTAGAGGTGCAAGGAGGAGGCTGTGCAAGCGTGAAGGACAGGTGGGGGAAGAAGTTCAAGGGGATACCTGAGAGTCACAGTGTGGCTCCGGGCAAGAACATGAAGGCCAGGGATGATGCACAAGGGTTAGGCCAGCATTAGGCAGCTTATGCAGGAGTGTAACCCAATTCATGGAGAATGTGAGGGTGTGTGTGAGAGATACAGTAAAGCTTGGGAAATGTGTGTAGATCAGTGGTGGGATTCAAATATTTTTACCACCAGTTCGGTGGATGGGGCTTGGTGGACGCGCTTTGCGTGCGCACACGTGCCAAACGCACACTTGGCGCAGGCGCAGAGACATTCTAACTCACCTCCTGCAAGCCTGCACAATCCCAGGCAGGGTGAAGGTTAAGGTGAGTGCGTGATGGCTTGGGTGTTGTGTGAGAGGAACAGGTGAGGGACGGTGCATGGGAGTGTAGCAAGGGTCAGGGAAGGTGTTCAGGGCTGTGCTGCGAATTAAGGGCGTGCAAGGGTGGCTGTTAGGCTTGGATAGGGTGCAGAAGGGTTAAAGGTCAGGGAGGATATGCAAGTGGCAGCACAGAACGACTGCTGGAGGCTGTGCAGGTGGGGGGAGGTTTACCTCAGCAATGTGTGTGTGATAATGAGGTGCAGCACCAGGTCAGAAATGCTCTGAGGATCAGTCACAACCATCATTCATTCAGCACCATCATAACTTTGAATGGTCACTGAATGGACACAGATGAAGATCAAATTTTAAAATTTACTGCATAACTGACAATACAGCTATTAAACTTACTCTCTTTGATTCATTTTCATATTGTGTTAGAAATAATTATAACTACTCTGTCCTAAGATGATTATTTTACTATCCTCAGAGAAGAGACATAAGATTGAAGATAAACAAGAGTTTCTTCAAAGATACCCTTTGAGTAAAAAACAACAACAACGGGGACTCAGTAGAACATACATCAAGGTTTTTCAAGAAAGAATCAAAAAGGAAAGAGACACAAAAAAAACAATAATTCAGGGGTGTCCAACCATGGCAACTTTAAGACTTGTGGACTTCAACTCCCGGCTGGGAAATTCTTACAATAAATGCTTTAAATGTATTACTAAGTTAGGATTCTGGTTAACAGCAGACCAACATGTAGGTGGCCAATTTTGTACTTGTTAAAGCCAATATATCAGTTTAGCAGATCAATACAGTAGCCTTAGAAAGTATGAGATTCAGACAATACACAAAGATGCCTAGGTAGCTAACATGGCTAATCTCATTAGCCTAAGTAGAAATGGACCTGGCTAGTATTTAGATGAGAGAATATTGGGAAACCTTACCAGGGCTGTAAGATTGATTGGGAAATTCAAAACACACATTAAAAGAAGGATAAACTATTCCTCTACTACTCCCAAAAGAACTCTTGAAATGCACCCATAAATTCAACTCTGGAAGTGAATGACTCAAAAAGACTTTTACATTATAAATATTCCATTGTTTAAAAACAGAGCAATGTCCATTAATACTGTAATAAATAGCATTCCTCCAAAACTCACTCATTCAGACACCAAAGGCTACCATATTTTTTTTTAAATCATGAGGTAATTTTTAAAAAAATGGCAGAACAATAACACAGATGGATTTACTCCTTAACCTATCCACAATGTTCAAAGGAGTCCTATTTCTCAAGCTGATATAATTTACTATCAGTGTTGGTTGTAACCCTTGAATTCATTTCATTAGATCAGGGGTTTCCTCAGCAAAGCTGGCTGAGGAATTCTGGGAGTTGGAAGTCCACAGGTCTTAAAGTTGCCAAGGTTAGGGACCCCTGCATTAGATGGTTACACTTTCACTATAAAAAACAAACGAACAAAAACCTGAGCGCTCAGTTTGTCTCATCCAGATCCTGTGCTGTGAATAACCGTAAATGTGGGTTGTTGAATCATACCACCCATAATCTGCAGTTTATAGACTGATTTGATTCATTCATTCCATAAAATATCTCACCATAATCCTACGAGATGCTTTGAACCTGGCATGCTACAAGCAAGTCACGGACAAAGTTAACTTACTTGTTGTGCTAGAAAAGCACAGCAAGTCATAATTAACCAGAACAGAAATGAAAGAGCAGCTTTAAATTCTTCTTTGAAGAGGGAAAAGGCAATGGGGCAACCACTTCTTGTGTCTCATTCTTGAGCACTATTGAGCAGATTAGAACAAGTAAATCACAATAGCACAAATAAGTGTGTTACCTGTCCAAAAATTCTTCGGGAGTACTTTCTAGACAATAGATTTTTCTAGTTTTATCTCTATACTACAAGCTATTCTTACCTAAAGAGCATAATTTTATACTTCTTTACATTTAACCTCATCTCACTCCGTCCAGTGGTTCAAATGATCCATATCTGTCTTTACTTTCAATCTATCTTCTTCTGCATTTGCATTCTATACCTCCTAGCTTTATGTCATCTGTAAAATGATCAATATTTGATATTTAGCTAAAATAGAAGGTTCTAGTAAAAACAATGACAAGAAGCACTTTCATTTGTTTGCTCTATGAACCTTTTGAGCATCCAAAATCATTGTACAATCAAGTGTCTGCTTCAGGAGTGTGTAGTATGCTAGAAGTTAGCAAACCTGTGTACATGAGAATGGACACTTGTGAAATGTTCCATATTTTTAAAATCAGGGAACACTTTATAAAATGGATTGCAGGTATACATTAGTCACTGTGAATGTGCGCATTCAGTCTTCCTTAATAGGAAAATAAAAACATACTTTAAAATTGATCCAGCTTACAGTATCTGCCCATACTGGTCAGTTTTTTTCACAGATAGGAAGCAAACAGGTGAGGCTAGGGAAATTATATGTCATATCTGGACAATGAACACAGGCTGAGAGCTCTTTCTGTTGGTCTTTTCTGTCTATACAATGATTGCATGGCAAGGGAACCCTCTGTTAAAGTTCTGAAGTTTGCAGATGATACAACCATCACTGGCCTCAACTGAGTTGGTCATGAGTCTGCAGTCTGCATATACTGTAGACGGAAAGTTGAAAACCTGGCCCTGTGGTGCAGCTGAAACAATCTGGAACTGAATATGCTTAAGGCTGTAGAGATGAGAATGGATTTTAGGAGGAGCCCTTCTCTTCACCTCTTGCCATATTCAAGAGCACCTTATCAACAGTGGCGTCCTTCAAATTTTGGAGTTCTATAATCTCCTAGGACATGGGTGTCAAACTCGATTTCATTGAGGGCCACATCAGGGTTGTGTTTGACCTGGGGGGAGGGGCAGGGGTGTATGTGGGCAGGGTGTGTGTGGCCAGCATGTCATCATTCATGTTGGGGGTGCCTGTGGTGGCCCGAGTGCTCTGCCAGCGAAAACAGGCTCCTGTGATGGCCTCCTGCAACACTCTGCCAGCAGAAATGGAACTGGGGGGGGGGGGGGGAGGAGGAGAGAGATGGAAACGTGCAAACCTTGTGAGCTCCATTTTTGCTGGCAGAAGCACCACAGGCTGGTCCTTCACTATTTCCAGGGCAGCCCCATGGGCCAGATCCACGCACTCGGCAGGCCAGAGGAAGCCCCCAGGCCCCGAGTTTGACACCCCTGTCCTAGGACTTGAAATGGACCCTTAACATTAGAACCACCATTAAAAGGCACACCAAGGAATATTCTTCCTGCATCAACTCAAGGAAGTTCGGGAGATGTTGATACAGTTTTAAAGAGGAATTATTAAGTCTGTCATATATTCTTCTATAACTGTCTGGTTTGGTGCAACAACTAAACAGGCAGGTACAGATTCCAGTGGATAGTTAAGATTGCAGAAAGAACAATTGCAACCAGCCTGCCTTCCACAACAGCCCTTTATATTGTGTGGGTCAGGAGGAGGGCTGAGAAGGTATCTGCAGACCCCTCACATCCTGGAAATAAACTATTTCAACTTCTCTCCTCTGGCATTGCAAGCCAAAACAACTAGACCCAGGGACAGTTTTTTCCCTTGGGCCATCACTGTTGAACAACTAATTCTCACACTGCTGCCTAATGTCAGTATGTATTTACTCAAAAAGTATGGCTGTAGCATTATTATTATTATTTATACTTATTATCCTTCATACTTTTCCCTCTTATTGGTGTTTTGATTATTATGATTATCATTAATTTGTTGCTTTGCATCTACATTGAGAGCTTCTGCACTGGAGACAAATTCCTTGTGTGTCACACTTGGCCAAATAAAGTATTCAATTCAATGCATATAAAGTGGTAAATTATGGTGGATGGCTAAGAGTTATCAGAGGAATGAAAGCATGGCATTCTGGAGGTGACAGGAAGTGAGATTTTATGTGCTCATTTCTGTGTAATACAAGTCAGTACAAGTGATTTACTGTATATGAATAGAACTTGCTCATAGTAATGCTTAGCTTGCTCATCTAAGCCATATATAGAAAGGATGTAATCTAATATGATTCCGCTAATTCTGAACAGCTTTAAACATTTATAATACCCATGCACTTAAACCGTAGCATTAAAAATTGCATTATGGAAGAAGGAAGGAAGAGTACTTACTTGGGCGTGATCATCTGTGAGAAGTCTAAATTTTCTGGGGATTTTGCTTCTGGCAAACTTACAGCCATTGTAATACATGCTCCAAGAACAGCCAAATGAAAAGGATGCCCCACATGTCTCTGGATCGAGACCTTGACAGGCACAAGTACGACTAGAAAAATTAACCAAAAGGTAGGTAAACAGCTAGTTGGCCAAGATCCTCATCTTCAGCAAATTGATGCCCCCAAAACCTCTGTCAACCTAACACATGTAGACCAGGGCTGTCAATCTCCCAGGCTGGATGCGTCACGCACTGGCTATGCCCAGGCCCAGTTTAGCGAAGGGAAGAAAAGTCTCGATACATCACGTGACACTGCCATGATGTGACCACTGGCTGCTTCTGATTATGACCAGTGTAAGAATCAATCAGATCTGACGAATCTCATACTGCAGGCTCAAGTGTTTATTCTTTCTTCTTCTTTCCGCTACAGGGTAGGCAGTCACTAAACATATGTCAGGCTCCAGGGCTTTGCCAAATACCTTGTTGCTGTCACATCAGATTCCTCAGCAATACAATAATAGCTTCCCAATCAATCATGGGTGCAAGCAACAACAACTATCTATAATTTTTGTTGGGCGAGCAACCACAAAAATGTCTATAATCAACTTGACTACATTTTTCTGAAGCTTGAATGTAGCTACCATTGCACAAATTGATTTACAACCACAACTGAGCCTCAGATTTCTGTTGCTAAGTGAGATAGTTGTTAAGGGAGTTTTGCCTTATTTTATGATATTTTTGCCATAGTTGTTAAGTGAATCACAGCAGTCGTTAAGTTAGTAACACAGTTGTTAAGTGAATCTGGCTTCCCCATTGATTTTGCTTGTCAGGTTGCAAAAAAGATCACATGACTCTGGAACACTATAACTGTCATCAATTTGAATCAGTTGCCAAGTGTTTGAATTTTGATCATGTGACCAGAGGGATTTGCAAGTGTGAAAAATGGTCAAAAGTCACTTTTTTCAGTGCCAATGTAACTTTGAAAGGTCACTTTCAAAGTTGTAAGTCAAGGAGTACCTTCAGGCAGAGGCCTAGATACTGTCAACTGTCTTTATTAGAAATAAATAGTGCACTTCTTTGTGGCTGTGTATTTTTTTCATTTTAGACCCTGTAAAAAAATGACTGCCCAATCACTGGAGCAGCTTCAAATTGCCTTCCATACTTAGTTGCTAGTATTATGGAAGACTCAAACATGTCAAGGACAAAGCAAGTCTGTTTCTGTTGTAGAAGACCCAATGACTGACCATTCCTGGAATTGTTAAATGGGGGCGTTTTAAGGGAACATCAAAACATTTCCTGACTGGAATGAAAAATTTTGCATTGACCTTTCTAGGATTAAAGTCAGTGCATGAGTACATACTTTAATTTGCTTGCTCCAGTCAGTAGGAGTTACTAAGTAAATAACATACATTTATGTGAGTTATTCAGAATAACATCCACATCAGATAATTAGGTTTCTTCAAGCTTGGTTTCGGATTCAGATGTGAGTGCCAAGAACAAAGTACGGAAGTTTTATTATTCCTATAAATAAGATACAAGCCTCATTCCAGGCATCTTATTAAACAAACCTGAAAAGAACTTTGTAAGGTTTAACTGCAGTAGCTGTCAATAAAAGAGTTTCAACTATATTGAGTTTGTATTTTGTTATCTACAAAAAATATAGAAAAAAGTGTACTTTATTCTATTAAGTCTAGAAGACACCAAAGTAAGAAAGCTGTGGGTAACAACAGAAGACATTTTTAAAAAATGGAAGAAAAATTCTATTTTCATATAAATTGTTTCTGCCAGAATAAAAAATAAAAAAGTTGATTTTGGTCCACTTAACACATCATACTTAGAATGCTATCTACATTCTACTAAAAAAAAAAAATACTGTATCTTTCTCAAGTGTTAATGACCATAGTGCAGAAGACTGTCAGTCAAGTAAGATTAGCTCTCTCTCATACATGCTTTATATTTTAAAATCCTCTCATATTTTAAAAATATTTTAAAGCGTACTTACTCTTCATTTAATGCACATCTACGGCTAGTTGGACAGCCATATTTTCTGAGACTGTGGGTCAGTTCCTTGTACAACGTGTCAGCAAGAAGATGAGGAATCCCTTCCCAAGCCAAAATAAGTATCACAATCACAGCAGTCTGGCAGTGATGTCCTGCACGCTGACGAACTAAGCACAGCAATTTTTCTTCATCACTACTTCTCCGTATCACCTGAAAAGATAAAGGAATGGTTTGCAGGTTAATCATGAACATCCCTAAAATGGAAAAGCTAGCTATTATCTCCCTACAGTTATTGGCTCTCTAGAAAGAGCTATGATACAAGGATCAGCAAGTTCAAAATAGAGGGTGAGAACATGAAGTGAGCACCAAGACCCATAGTGCACATTAAAAGGTAGGACTTTGATCACCTTGTCACACTTGCCACTTTTAGGTTTTTTGACACCCACCTCCTCCATCCCAAGGACAGTCCAGATAAATTAGTAGATTTATTTTGCAGATAATATTATTGCTGTAATTGTCTATCACAAGTTTTTTCCCCTCTTATGGATTTCACCACCCTTCCACGGGTTAATTAATCAGAAGACAACATAGCTTGAAATCCCTTGAAGACAGTTCTTATTTCTGAAATTCCAATTTATAAGAGCCTCGATGGCGCAGTGGTTAGAGTGCAATACTGCAGGTTACTTCTGCTGACTGTCGGCTGCCTGCAATTTGGCAGTTCAAATCCCACCAGGCTCATGGTTGACTCAGCCTTCCATCCTTCTTAGGTAGGTAAAATGAGAACCCCAAATTGTTCGGGGCAATATGCTGACTCTATAAACCGCTTAGAGAGGGACGTAAAGCATTATGAAGTTGTATATAACTCTTAAGTGCTATTGCTATTTAGTTTTTCCTAAAATAAGGTCAAAACACACACACAAAATACAAAACTGCAATGTAACATACACACTTAGCAAACCTCTTTTTCTCTGTAGACAAAATTTTGGTTTAGTAAATGTATCCACTAATTTTTTTATCCCCAAGTATTTATTCAACCCCATTTGCATACTGCTGTATCTACTTGCTTATTAGAGAATAAATGTTAAAACTTAGAAAGAGACTTTTTTTAAAAAAAGATGTGAACCTGGAGAAAGCCGCTTCAACTACATACATTTTTCATTTGTCTTTGAGAAAATCTTTCTACCATTCAACCATTTGCAAAATGCTATCCATTAAACCTAGTCAGTAACAAAAGATTTGCAATTAAACCAGACAGGCCTAGGAGGATAAATCACATTTAAGACAAAGGTCACAGAGTATTTGCTGGATCACAAAATGGCTGGAATCATCAGAGGTGCAACGAATCAAAATGAGACTTGCCTAAAGTGATGGCAATTTCTTCAGACAGTTTTTCACACTGACAGTGTTTAGCAAGCATGTACAAAATTGGGACAGCTTTTCTCATTTTGTATCTCTTTGGAAGGACGGTAATTCTCAATAACAGGGCAGAAAGAGGCCATCCCTGGATTCAATAGCTCTCCTTCCAATACCATTTCCTCCCTTTTAAAATGCCTTACATTTCCCTTAACATCTAAAAGGAACCAGGATTTTCCATTTTTTTTTGCCATCCTTTTTTGTAGAAAGGCAGGTTGCAATCTTATTATTTCACCCAAGCTTCATTTAAAAAAACAGAAACAAATCTATCACTGAAGAGAAATATAAACAAAATGTAAAATTACACGATGCATACAAGTCCCGGACTTACCTTGCAGCATCCCCACTGTCATGTGGTGAAAATTTACATGCTTGGCAACTAATTCATATTTATGATGGTTACAGTATCCTGGGGTCATGTGATTGATCACCTTTTGCCACTTTCTGACAAGAAAGTTAACGGGGAAGCCAAATTCACTTAACAACTGCATGACTAACTTCAACAACTACAGTGATTCAGTTAACAATCGTGGTAGGAAGGGTCATAAAATGGGGCAAAACTCACTTAAGCCCCGATGGCGCAGTGGTTAGAGGGCAGTACTGCAAGCTACTTCTGCTGACTGCCGGCTGCCTGCAATTTGGCAGATCAATCCTCACCAGGCTCAAGGTTGACTCAGCCTTCCATCCTTCCGAGGTGGGTAAAATGAGGACCCAGATTGTTAGGGGCAATAGGCTGACTCTGTAAACCACTTAGAGAGGGCTGTAAAGCACTATAAAGTGGCATATAAGTCTAAGTGCTACTGCTATTAACAACTGTCTTAGCCACAGAAATTTGAGACTCAACTCTGGTCTTTAAGCTGAGGACTACCTATATTTCCCCATATTATTATTTCAGAAGTGTCTAACTATATTTTCCATGCCTGTGCATTACTATTATTTTAAAATAAATGTCTAGAATAAATATTACAAGTATCCTCAACTTAGGACCACAACTAAACTCAAATTTTATGTTAAGTGAGACATGTGTTAAGTTTGCCCTATTTTACGACCTTTCTCAACATAGTTGCTAAGTGAAATACCGCAGTGAATAAGTTAGTGACTGGCTGGTAAGTGAATCTGGTTTCCCCACTGACTTTGCTGGCCAGAAAGTCACAAAAGGTGATCACATGACCCTTGGACACTGCAACGGTCATAAATATGAGTCAGATGCCTAGCATCTAAATTTTGATCACATGATCATGGGGATGATGCAAAGGTTGTAACTATTAAAACACAGTCATAAGTCACTTTTTTCAGTGCCATTGTAACTTTGAACAGTCAGAACTACTTGTATTAATAAATGATAGAAAATGTTACGCTATCATTTTTCTCAACATTTGCGAATGAACTTTTTAATGAACCATCAGTTTTCCTAATATCCTAATACAGAAAGAAATTATGCAAATGGGGAATCAATTCTGAGCTGCTCTCATCTCTAACTTTGTATTTCTAACAATGCAATTCAGTTTTCCCAGTAATGTAGTACCTGTTAATTTTCGATGTGATTCAAAAGACTTATTCGTATCTACTTCAGATAACAATTATACAGAGCAAAGAACTTTACAAAGAAGGCATATGAAATAATATATATCTCGGTCGGTCCCTACAGAGCACCAGTAATCACACCTTAGATCTAAGAGTTCAGCACTCAACGGCACACTTCTATCCCAAAGCTGAATACAACATATCCTTTTTGGAACAAAAAGCAATCGCTGCCTTATCATCATTGTATTTGGCAAACTTCTCGTCTAAAATAATTGTGTAGGCAGGGCAGCATTAGGATGTTTATTCCTAACTCACTCTTTGGGGAGGAAGGCTAATTACTTAATATTATCATTTGAAAGTAGAAATACAGATTAGGTTATGGTAGACTGGGGGATTTTTTTTTTCTAACTGTAATTCTCATATACTCTTGCCACTGTAGCTGATGGAAATTAAAGTCCAAAATGACTAGAGGGGTTCAGATAGTCAAAATCTGGGTCAGGTTAATTAAGAAAAAAAAAAAACATTCTCACTCCAGCTTTTCTGTCATAGTACTCAAGAGGCCCCATGAAATTCACACAGTCTCCCCTTGGAATCAACAAGCAATCCTGTTCTGTTTTTCTTCACTTTCCTTAGACATTTTACTCCCGTATTGCACAAGGAACTAGAAGGCATAAATGCAATGCATTTAATGCCTAACCATAAGCTTAGATGTTTAAATACATACTATCAGTACACACTCAATTACTGTCTTTGTTATAAAAATGTTTTAATATACAAACAGAAATAAAAGACTAAACTAACCTCTCCCATGTATTTATATATTCCAGTATCACGATATATTTGTACCTCTCTTTTCTGTTCAGCCAGATTGATACTGCATAATCATACTCATTCAACGTATTGTATAGTTAACCCACAACCCCTTTTACCACTGTGAATAGCATCAGGGATGAAAGTCACGGGCTGATTCAGATGTGTGCCTGGCATAGACTTTACTACAATCTGCCTGAGGGGGAGTAGAGACAAAGAGGGAAAAGTAATTACTTATTTGTATGCTTCAGAAATTCATGAGAAAAGGCCTATTGGAATAATTGCTGGCCTACAAATGGTTTCACGGACAACAGACCTGCTTTGTTTCTAAGGGATCATGGGATCCCACAGGTATATTTGGAGTCTGAACTGACACAGTCCACGAATGAAGGAACGATGGGCTATTTAGCTGTACCTCGTCACTTGACCTTCTTTAGTTACCACATTCCTGCTCCTGTTCTCTGGGATCAGCCTTGGCCCAAATTTATCTTGAGGATAATGGGATTTGCATCATTTCTCTACCTTAAATTTCTTTCATTTGAATAAGCAGGGAGTGTATTTTAAAGAAAAAAATCTTCCCCAGTTCAAACACCTTTGTACTATGCTGCTGATTCAATGATGGCATTTGAAGAAGAGAGATTATTCCAGAACATTTTTATAATGTTGTATAATCATGTGCATATCTAATTCCTTTGTTAATATATAGATAAAAGTCTGTGTAAATAATCGTTTCCAATTATGCAAAAGAATGTAATTTAATCTCCAAAATGTTTTTTGAAAGTTAGTGTCACCGGCAACCATATTTCCTAGAGCAACTTAATTGCTTGGATTCTACTTACTTGAAATATTTCTCTTAGATTGGTGAAGCAACTGTCTCAACCCTTGGCAGGATCTCTGGAATAAGGAACAAGTTCTCTGTGAATAAATATTGCTTGAGGCAGATTGTCCCTTCAAAATTAGCCAAACTAACTAGTATGCATGTTTAAAAATGCAGAAATGACCTCACACTCTAGTAGTAATTATGCTCAGGAATTGAAAAATGAATTTCTCTTTAAATTTCTTTAAATTACAGCAAAACGAGGACTTTAAGTGACCACAATTGTCAGCCCAGATACTAGGCCAATTTGAGCTAATATTGCAGAAATTTACAACACAATGCAATGTGGAAAGAACCATAAATGAAACCGGTAAAGAAAGCCTGCTCTGCAAAGCATCAAAAATAAATCAATGATGCCAGCCAAACACCATACACTATAATAAACTTGTTCCAACTGAAGTACCGTATTTTTCAGTAGACACACTCTCCCCCTCTCCACAAAAGTGGGTGGAAATGTCACTGCGTCTTAAATAGCGAATGTTGCTGAAGCCCTGGTCGCCCGATGGCCCCATCCTTTGGCCTCTGTCTCCCAGCAATTTGCCTCCTTGTAGCAAACAGCAAAATTTAGCATGAGCAACTGATTGTC